TCCTGCCTGACTCTGAGTGAGCTGAGGTCTGTCCTTGTTGTCCTCATCATACAGAGACACTGTAGATAGAGTTAGCATTAGGTCAGCTAACTGCTTTACCTGTTTGTATGTGGTATCAGACCCTAATGTATACCAGGTTTGTCAATAACACTGACCATGGATGGATTACTGAACAAGCTTACCAGGCGCAAGCCTGGGGGCCGAAGTGTCAGGGGCTCCCCTGGCCTTTGCCTGCAAAATGTCACTCAAATTTACATGTACCAACCAGAAAACCTCAAAATGACTACAAAGGGCACACCACAAAGAGACACAAAGCGACTAGAGAGTAATGCAAAGGAACTGAAAAGAGACACAAAATACATATAGAGGGGCAAAACAACGACAGATAGAAAACAACAACAAAAAAAAGACACAACATTACCTCATAGACAAACATAATAACAACCACAACAGGACACAAAATGACTAAAAACAAACAGAATTACCACAACAAGACACAAATCAATCACAAAGACACACAAAATGATCAAAAAAGACACAGAACTACCTCAAAGAGACAAAAAACAGCCACATGGAGCCACAAAGTGCTCTCTGAAATGACTACAAATAAACTCAATACAACCAAAACACACATAATTACCTCAAAAAGACACAACACAACCACAAAGAGACACAAAACCACCACAAAGTCTGTGTCTTCTATGTAGGAGAGGTGGTGGGGCCTTCTGCACGTCTGTGCCCAGGGGCCCATTATCTCATAATCCACCCATGATGCTGACATAGCTGAGAAAGTCTTCTTATCATAGCTATGGTTTTATTTGCGTCAATAAAAGCATCTCAATTCACTGGCACTTATATTACAGCACTAAAGTACTGTATAATTAGCTCGATGTAAATAAACTAAATGTTTCTGCCAAATGATGTTTTAAACAGCAGTGTGATTTACAAGTGCTGGTTCCTTTACAGTACTTGCCTTTTAGCTATAAATCGACCCTGGCTGGGCGAGTTTCTTATGCAATCATCACACCAATCTAGAATGAGGAAACAGACCTTAACAAGGTCCTAAATGGTAGTCTGTTCAAAGTGATTGTTTGTCGTGATCCCTGGTGAGAGAAAGGATCAAGTAAATTACTGAAAAATCTAGCCAATTGCTTACACAGGGTTCTGACTCCCTCTTTGAGAATGACAAGCAATTAGGTTTTCTCCCCCACTGCACTCGGTGTTTGAACAGAAAAACACCAAAGCAAGTGTTCATTTCCATCACTCTCCACCACGCTAGTGTTGGGAGTCTTCGAGGCCAGACATCTTAAACCAATAACTGTATTCCTCTGGCGCTCCTTTGCTCCAGTGGGACAACAACAACATTTTTTTCTTTTTTTTGCCTCCAAACCTGAGTATGAATCTTTCAAGTACATGAATAAATCTCTATGCTCGACAACTTAGGCAGAAATCGAGCAGCTACAGCAAATCAAACAAAGAAATCTTTTGTCCTGTTGAACAATATCACCTCACCATTCAGTTGGCTTTTTTATATGGGTTTGATGGTTAGACAGGAACATTAGAGGAACACACATCTCGCAAACATTCATCCACATACAAACCCATTTGAGAATGTGACTGAAATTATTCAGTCTTTGTTTTTAACAAAGAGCTTAAATTTATTCATGAAGTTTCAGGACAACTGTCACCAATCAAATTCATAGTTATTTTATTTGTGATTAAGGGGCTATTTCCCAAGCACTGAATTTTCCTGTGATCCTTATTTGTTTGTTTTTGACAGCAGAATATCTGATAATCTCATTGCTCACATGATTTCAATTCACCGCATTTACTCCTAGTCCAAATGCACTAAACGGAGCATCTCCTATTTCTAAGATGAATTAGGTTTTGCATCAGAATTTCTGCTGTTGCATTAAATTTACGTTCTGAGCAATCAATACTAAGCTATTAATATTAATCAGACTAATGAAAAGATGCTGATTTCCACAGAAAATTACACCAACATACTATAATTCCCATCTCCTGACTGATGAGAGTCATTACATGCAGCTTTTTTTCATGCAATATTCTGTATTTGGAGACTGTTTTCCAGAATGATACACATTAAATAAGGTCTACACCTTGCAGAATGATCATTTACACCCTGCAGAATGATCATTTAAACCGTGCAGAATGACTGTTAGCACAAATGTCTCTGAATGTCTGGTACTTTTAGAGAAGATGAGTAGCCTTAGGTTGATTCAAAATGATTGTTTATATTTGAGACATCTTGAGTGCATTTTGAAGAAGATACTTTAAATTAATTTACAGTGTTTTCAGGCTTTTTCTTCCAGGCAGATGCAGTTTACTGTATAGTACACACACACACACACACACACACAGCATGGTGTCCCGTCATGCATGGCTTGATGCACACACCGTAGAAGGATGCCAAGGTCAAGCAGGTGCCCATCTGTATCAGTAGCACTAAGGACCCCTGGGCTTTATGGGTACTTAACAAACACATGCAGAGAACGAACAAGTGCATCTGTCTCATTAAAGCCCTGTTAATATTTCATACAGGCCTGCGCTGAGACTGTGACTGAAAATATGTGGATATCTCAACTCGGCTGGTAGGAGTGTTACCCTCATTGCAGCAGATACGCAAGAAGTCATCAATTCTTTATGTTTGCCATGCAGTCTCTGGGAGGGCTGGTAGCGTCATATTTTCTTTCAGACCCTTAAATATTTAATGTAAACACTTACAACAAATTGTCCCCCAAGGCCAATTACAGTGTGAACCCAGTGAAGAAAGGGTCGAGATGTAATAGTAAGTCATCAGCGACATTGTCAGTGTCACATTTGCAAGTGGTTAACATTGGCATTTATTCCTCTTCGTTTACTGAGAGCTGTGTGGATAGACAAGTTTATTTGATTTACCATTTTTTACTTGAGGTGTTAGAATTAGTTAGCACATTTGCATTTAAGTTCATTTCCAATTAAGGTTTAATTAGTAATTTCACATCAGGAAACTTTATCTAATTAAATGTAAAGGAGTTTAAAGCACAATTGGCTTTCTTCTAACAGCATCTGTGATGTACACTACAGCCTCTTCATCTGTGTAGACTGAAAGCATACTGTAGATTCTATTAAAGGTCAACTGCGGGGTCCACCTGCCCTGCAGACATGACATATAGAACACTAATGTATGCTGCAACATATTGGCTTTACTGTTTCTATATGTAACAGCATGTTCCTCAGGCTGATACATTTGCACTGTCTTATTTGAATATTTCAGACAGACAGATGTACCCAGAGATGGTTGAATGGCTGACAAGTCTGCCAAACCCAAAACATGTAGCCTATTATTTAGGGGCTTTCATGGGCCTTCAAGGTTTTTTGTCAACATTGGGGTGGACACATATGAAATGAGGGTTTTGGGGATCCACCCAAGGAAATTCCAAGCATCAAATACTCCATTTCCAATTTTAATGTGCTAATTTGTGGCTTTTCTGCATCGATTTATGGTGAAAACGAAAATATAAGTCCTCTGCTCCTTTCATCTTTTTATAAGGAGGCAAATGCACGTTTTAAATATTGAGGGGGACATGTGCCCTTCCTGAAATCCACGCTTATGGAGCCAACAACTGGTGAGTGACCACACTATTTCCCACTCACTGTTATTTGCCATCGTTTACATCACTTTATCATACAATGTATTGCTCATGAAAGCTGTTACATTTGTTTGGCACCCTTTAAAGATTTTATTTTCAGGGTCGTTTTTTCTTGTGAGGCCCTGCGATCTGTCTGGTGGCCTTCGCCAAATGGTGACACTCACCGCCAACGTACGAGGAGGCGCTGTCTGTGGTGCTAGATTGACTCAGACTGCCGCTTTTAACCGAAGGCGCGACACGGCGCTGTCCGTGGTCCTGAATATATAGCTGCATGGAGCCAAAGGTGCGAACAGGCGCCGTCTGGCATACAGACCATCGGCTATTTTACGCACTCCTGAATAACATCCAACATGTATCTACTTTATCAGCAGACCTTACACTTTCTAAGCTGCGGTGGCTCATGCTCGACGCTGCGTGCATGCTGACCAGCTGAACCTCCCTGCAAGTTCAAATGCTTGACTGCCTTGACTGAAAGCTTTTCTGGGTCAAATAATTTACCGTCCTTCACTTCGATTCACAACTGTCACATCAAAGCTCGTCATTTTTACCGAAGGGACGCGGCTTTTTTCCCCTCCCCGAGTGTCATGCACTATACAGCACGCCACGCACTCAGACACACGTCACACATCTCCAGGATCTACAACCATTTGTTGTACACTGCTAATTACACATGGGCTCCTGTTCACAACCACAAATCACACACAGATCCTGTAAACAAACGTCCACTGCTTGGCTCTTCGAGCTTAAATCAGCGCGATCGGTTATCTGTGGAGCCCCTGGACCTTTCTGTCAGTGATGTCGAGGTAGATAGGAAGGTCTGCAAACAACGACCCCCGGGGCATCAAAGGTATCAGAGCCACCAGAAATCAATTACACTGTCAAGGGAGCACGTTACTTCATATTCTTACTTTTCCCTTTAAAACAATGTCGCCACCATCATTTGTTCCACTCATTGTAATTTACACCACAAATCCAACAAGACTGATGCAAGGCTGAAAATGTGTGAGAGTTCAGTGAGTCAAGTTCACATGGATTTACCATAAACTGCAGCTTTTGTCATATCTTCCCTGAAGTTTCTATCTACAATTCCCTTCCCTCTCATCAGCACGCTTCTCTGCATACACTGAAAGAAGTCAGAACAATAGCAATTTCCCTATTTAATGCTGCAACATGTATAGTCTTTGCAAATAATACTTCCCCTCCTTTTTAACTGCCCAGTAGCTCTTATTAAGCCGCTGGCTCTTACTGAAATCATCCATATTTGAGAATTCATACACAGCACTGCTTTGGCAACTTTTAAACAATGCTTATTCATTGCGTGCGAGCGTTTGTGCCGCGAGTCCTTACCTCACAGGGCATGACAGCTAACATCACAAGCAGGAACATGGCACTGAAGAGATGCATCCTAGTCGGAATGATAGCGTCCCAGCCGACACCAGTTCCCGCAGCTCTCCCCCCGTTCTTGTCCCTTTACTGGGGCGGTTTCTTCAGACACAGAGGGATTCCTTTAATGCTGTGTCGGCTGTGCGCCACCAACCTCATCACCAGGACGCACGCATGGCAGCCCTCTCTGGCTCGGTAAAGCGACCAGCCGCGTGTCTTCCGTGGAGCATAGACTCTTTTTTTTGCGGGTAGGGTAAAAAAGCAACACCTCTCAATCCCCCAGCGTTGGAAAACTCCCCCCAGATGGTGTAATCGGGCGAAGCGGACAGTAGGCGAACAGTCCCCTCCGTCCTGCGAAATAACTGCGACTGAGCGAGAAAGAGCGGAGGAGAGTCGCAGAGGTTGGAAGGTGACTGCTGTGCTTGCAAGGTGCCGACGCTAGGAGCAGCACGTCTATGTGCCAGCCAGGAGCCCAGTCAAAGAAGTACCACTCTTTGACGCAGCCAAGCTTGGCCGTGCGCGCGCGCGCGCGTGTGTGTGCGTGCGTGTATGTGAGTGTGTTGGAGAGGGGGAGAGAGAGCTGCTTGACTGACAATATCCTTGCACCAGTGACTGATAGATAGATAGATAGATAGATAGATAGATAGATAGATAGATAGATAGATAGAGGCATTGCTTCCAGTGACAATCCTTTTTGCTCCATAAAATCTTTCCACTACTGTGACAGATACCTCAAGAAAGAGCTGACATTTAGCATTGATAATGTCTCCCTGCTTAGAAGCCCGACGGTGAGTGATAACTGTGTGCATTTTTAAAAGACCGAGATAGCGACTGTCAGATCTACATTAATACCATCAATTCAGCGCTGACGCATATCCAATTAGAAGATGCCAAAATAGAGGGATTCTCTGGGGTTTATGGAAATGATAAAGATTATTCTTTCCCCGATTACAATGGAGATAATGAATGTCGTTAGCTAAGAGATGTAGTTAAATGACGGTTAGGCTTTCTAATAAGTATTTTCCAGGCCAGGTGAGAATGGACATGCACACAGCCTGCTTCTGTGGGTTGTTTCTTTGTGTGTATGTCCATGTGAACTGTGTCACAGTGATTAGATGGTGTGGGCCTGTGATTCCTGTGCTTTTTTTTTTTTTTTTTTTCTTTGACAGGCTGTGTTTGTAGCTTCCAGCGATCCTGAATTGGGTATGAAAAATATAGCAGCCTCTCCTGCCAGTTCTGTCCTCACCCATTTAATAATAGCTTATGAAATATGCTTTTTTTCCAAGGGTAAATGCTCAGCATGTCAGCTGTGGTGAAGCCCTGACTGACCAGTGTCAAGAAACCACAAAGACAAAACATTAAAAAATAATAATTTAAAAAAAAGATACTGTTGCTGGGAAGAGTATATTCAGCCCTCCCACTCCAATTTCCTTCTCAGAAATTCAAAGAGATAAAGCACCGTACACATAACCAACAGAATGTGCCATATTTTGAATAAAAAGTGACTGGAACAAATCATTTGTGTAGTAAGGGACAGCTGGTACTTAATGCACTGTTGTAGGGTTGTTTAAAGGCAACAAAGGAGACGAGTGCAGTTTGGAAAGCTAAAAATCCGAGTCAGTTTTTGCTTGGACTGTATCTATCTTAAGCCTTACACTCACAAACAAACCTATAGAATCTATCCAGTAAATGTGAGGTAACACTTTGCACACAGTTTGGTTGGGTAGATTTCATCTTGAGTAAAGAGTGCCTACAATAAACAGCTATGACAAACTAAAACGTGTTAGGTAAAGAACACCTAACATTTTTAATACATGACACAACTGATTAGTCATACAAAGTGAATGATAATAACTCTTGGCCCCAGCTGGCCGGTGGTTTCTAACCCAGAACCCTCCAGCTGAGAGGCAACAGTGCAATGCATGACACCATGATCAACTGAATAGTTCATGTCTTCTGAGTAACAGTGACCAAAGAGAAGTTGTTTGAATGCAGCTCAACACTCTCCAGTCCCCTGAATGAAACTGACCTTAGCCTTGCTGCATGGGTGCTGATACATGTGTACATTGCAGTGCAGGATTATACAATATCTTGGAGTATCCATCCATCCATCCATCCATTTTTGGAACCGCTTATCCTCTTTAGGGTTGCGGGGGGGCTGGAGCCTATCCCAGCTGACATTGGCATTGGGTTGCCAGACTATTGCAGGGCTGACACATAGAGACAGACAACCATTCACACTCACATTCACACCTACGGCCAATTTGGAGTCACCAATTAACCTATCCCCAACCTGCATGTCTTTGGACTGTGGGAGGAAGCCGGAGTACCCCGAGAAAACCCACACTGACATGGGGAGAACATGCAAACTCCGCACAGAAGGGCTCCCTCCTGGGATCAAACTAGGTACCCTCTTGCTGTGAGGTGACAGCCACGCCACTGTGCCGCCATCCATATTTTATGATATTGTTTTATGTTGCAGTTGTTACTGTTAACAAATAGGTAGAGTAGGTACAACTTACCCATTATCAATATTTCACTTGCTAACTAATATGCTGAATTAAAGTTTAAATGATATGCAAGGATTTTATTTACCACCCTCCAAAATCCTTTTTTTTTTTACAGTATAATGATAGCAGATACAGGGGATTGCCCCCTTTGGTGAAAATAATTGCACGCCCATAGTACTGTCTTTAAGAGGCTGTGACACACTCTTTTTTTAAGCTAGTGGTTTCTCATGAAACTAGACAGCCTAAGGCATCCACTGGTACCAACCATGTCGACATAGCTTGACAAGAAGGGATGTAAATCCTAATGCTTCAAAGTTAGGCTATATGTTGTCAAGGCAACATCTGGCAAGGCCATTTTTAAAGGGGTCCCTTGAACTCTCACCTGAAGATATCTGAATGAAAATGGGTTCTATGGGTACCCACGAGTCTCCCCTAAACTTTAGAAAGCTCTTTTCCAGTAAATGTTTTGTTCCTTACAATCAATGTACTCCTTCAAATTTAAGCTGTTTATTTGTCTTTTTAAAGAAAAGGTCAACCAGCCTTTGAAGAGCAATGAACTGTCTAACATGTATCGATATATAACACATTAAAACACAATTGTTGTGGAACTGTATCTGTATAAATCTATGCACATCAGATAATTAGTAATATTAAAAAATCAAAGCATATCAGTATGCAATCTCTTAACTCTCTTAACAGAATGAGCGAATTCCTGAAATTTAATTATGGCTTTTGGTTTCGGTGTGTCACCCCAAGATTTTCAGTGGCCCCATCTGGCCACCACTGTGAAAAATATCTGGGGGCACCACTGGGCTGATGTAGTTAAGACAGTGACTCATCACTTAAACACGGACACACTGGAGGGCTCCTGTTGCTTCAACACAAGGTTTATCCTGATTGGAATGTGTCTATTTATAATGATAATACATTTTATTATAGAGCAATTTTCAGGGTACTTAAAGATGATTTACTTCAGTGGAATGACAATTAAAAAATAGTTATTTTGCTTTTCATTCTGCAAAGCTCAAATTGCCACATTTTTTATTTTTCATTTCAATACTGTTTTGATTTTCCATCCCATATCCCATCTCTGTTTCTTAATGGTCAGCTACATCATAACTATGTTTTACTGGTATAACTCAGTAAAAACATTATTCTTACAAACAAAACCCTGTGGCTCCAGTTCATCTTGGCTTTTAACACTAAGAGCACTGGTATTAGTTCATAAGGCATTCACAGAGGATTTTAAATCAGGCAGTGTGATGGCTTGTGCCTTCCGGCCCCTGCCCCTGTATGGTTCTGCAGAGGGTTGACTTTCACCACCCCTGCTGCTGCCCTCAGTGGCATGGTGCACACCCCTCTATTTTCCCAGCAGGAAAAACCACAAGGAGGTGAAATGAGTAGCTGAGGGGGAGCAAGGGAGGGGTGGTGCATGAGGAAGACAGAAGAAAAGAAAAGGAATTATTCCTGCTTTTATGTGCTGTTATTATATTTTGCTGTGCGATCCCGGATAGTGCCTTCGCTCAGACACATACAGTACAGCATGAGGCTGAGATTAATAGCGATGTCCAGGGCTGCCAGGTTGAGTAAAAGTGATGTTGAGTCATTGCATGGGGTCAGAGTGCCAGTGTGTTTAATGTTCATGCCGAGGATATACACTGAACTAACAGACTCCCTTCTCCCGGCTGCTTTGCTCCATCTCCATCCCCTACAGTTACAGTTTAGAGACCTGGGGCGCTGAGGGAGCCGGGGGAATGCAAACAAAGCATAACCCATTTGTCAAAGATGCAACACTTTTCTCTTTTATCCTCGATCAGTCCAAGAGGCCAAGAGAAAGGAGAAAACAGACCTTCGGGGCTACTGTGTGTCCTCTCAGGCAGACATTATCTCTCTCTTCTGTCACCTCACATGTGGCTGTACCGTGTTAGGCAGACATGGCACTAAAACCACTAATTTTTGCATTTTTTCAGTCTAGACCTTTTGCTACCCCTCTGAAGTCATCAACTCTCTCTTTTTCACTCTTCACACTGTCACGCTTGCCCTCAGTGTTTATGTTAGTTATTGACTTATGGTTGTTTGATTGTGTTTCACGCTTTATGACTTAATCTCGGATTTGTCTTCGTGTGTTCCACTGTGTGAGCATGTTGCTAAAATATCTGAGGCGATGCTACGTATCTACTGAAGTGGCCTAAGGACTAAATTTAACAACCACCAGCATCTCTGTGGTTCTGTGTGTGAGTGTGTGTGAGTGTGTGTGAGTATGCGTGAGTGTTTGTCTCTGACTGCCTACAGGCACTCTGCTTGTCAAAAAGGATGGTTCTTCAGCATTAAAAACACAGCTGTTCAGATGGGACTATTTGTATTGAGCCACCGTTGCCAAGCCTGTCATTATATAGATTTTCAGTTTCCAGGAGTTGATTCGCTTCAAATAATTGGAAAGCAAGAAGAGTTTTAAACACTCTCTGAGAATGAACTGCAGTAGGGCAGAGGCGGAGAAAGAGGAGCTTAGTGTTTTGTTCATGGTTATAGTGAATATTAGACAGGTGGAGAGACCCAGTGAGTGACTAGATTGTAGATCATCACATAGACATACACAGACAGTCTAATTGGATTTTGTGAAGTTGGAGAACATGAGTTGCTCTATCCATCCTGCAAACATTGGAGTCTGTCCTATAACAGAACATTGTGGTTGTTATTGATCTTCGTAATGTTGCTGCTACTGCTGGTGCTGCAGAGTTATTATGCAATAGGACTGAAAGACCATATGCTTCCTGGAAGTATCCAGAATGTTGAATCTACATTAGGTACTCCAATGGGCACACAGGATAATGTTAAGCTCTCAGTGTTTGGCTTAAATGTCACTGATTAATACACACGCAGGCAATCTATCACTCACAGACACACTTAACTACAACATCAACATGTCAATAAACACGCAGATG